ATGTCATCGAGAGTATTTAAATGATTTTCAATCAGAAAAAAAATGTGTGATTAAAATGCGATTAATCGCAAGTTAACTTAGGCATTGATGCGATTAATCGCGATTAAAACAATTTAATCGATTGACAGCACTAATATTTACATAAACCCTATACAAATATACAAATTTTTTCCTTCCTGTCAGAATTTTTTTTCCTGTTTACAAAAGTCCAAACTGAGAGAGAGATGACTTAATTTGATGTTTTATACAGTGAATGTAAATATTTTCTTCTGCATTCATGGCAGGTTCCTGAACAGCTACCCTCAGTTTCAGCCTAGCTTTCCTTGCAGATACGACTATTTTCTATTCAGAATACAGCAGGTCTTTACAATTGACATTCTGTATAATATTTTTAAGGTAGGGGGGGGGGGTCACAGCAAGATGATGGTGATGATTTCTGCCTTGATCTTCCGAGAGGCCTTGAAATGGGGGTCGTGTGTTAAGAGTGAATGTGTGTGCTCTGGGAACAATCGGGACAACCGAGCAAGCAACATTCCATAACATCCCAGTGAGCATTCCTGCTCTGTTTGATCAGCACACAGTTCCTTTAGGTGATAAAACATTAATTATTTATTGGCATGGCAATGATATATAGTATAAAAGAGGGTTGTTGAATGCTGCAATATCATGCCTCAGTAAACACATCACTAACCTAGATCCCAGATGGAGAGTAGTCTGACATATTCATTGGAATTAGAAATCAAAGGCAGACAATGTCTTAGTTTGATGTTATCTATGGAAAAATGACCAGCCTTATGCATTGAGTCACTGACTGCAACAACCTGTCCTCCTGAGCAGGTATGTGGTGACTGTAGAGAGGAACAACTCTGCTCACCCTATTCTCATGTTAGGATATTCATGCAACATCCTTTGTTTCCCAGAATATTTCTCTGACCTGGAAGGCCGCAAAGAAAAGGATCCTAGTTTACCCTGGGACTTCTACAGCAGCTCCCTGTTTGGTAAGAACAAACTTCTGTCCCAGCTGATCTCCTCTCTCCTTTGAAGCTGATGTTTATAATTTATAAAGGTAGAAAGAGCACCGTGTGCCTAAAGTCCCACATTTACGCTGTGTTTGAGGTTGACTCATTCATGAGTTTCATGAAATGATGACTGGGAGGATGTAGAAAAGGTTCATTTGTTGGACTCATGATGAACCACGATGATGTGGAGGCTGTGTTAGGGCTATTTTTCCACTCAGACATGCCGGAAAAGTTGGCTGAAGTTTTAGAAATAATTATTAGCATTTAATAATAAAGATTCAGCACATGCGGTGAGGTCTCAGTAGCTCTTCACTATTTCCTCTGTACTTTGTAGGCTAGGGTTGTGCCCTTTAATCTGGGAGAATGACTATTTAGCTTGGAGAGCATACTCTCCTCTTATTTCTCAGTCTGCCCCTGTGCTGCTAATCCTCCCATCCGCCTGTGTTTATTTGCTAGCTCTTTTCTTCTCAGACCAAAGTTTTATAACAGCTTTTAGTCTTTAGTTTGCAGGGTTTAGTTTCTTGTTGAGAATGAGACCATAAGCCAGAAAGGATTGTTAAGCCTATCAAGTCCTACTTGGTGACAGTTTTTACAAGGATAGGCTGTTAAATGAGTGGCTTGTTATTTTTTTTCTAATGCTGTGTTCTTCTGCATGCAGCTGTGAGGGTTTAACATTTCCTCTCAATAAAGCGCTTTGTTCTGTCCTCTTTGCTTAACTGGGCTGATCAAACTGACCACTAGATGGCGTACAGTCCCCATGTTTACAGCCAGCTGGGTATTTTCTCTATTTCTTCTGACCTCTGTTGACTCTGCTGCACAGAAACCGACCAGGAGCCATGCTGGGACTTCCTGCTATCTGAGGAGAACCAGGAGCCAGAGGAGAATGGAGACGTGAAGCCTGAGAGAGACTCAGACAAAGATTGTCTTCTGTTTGAGTTCTCCTCAGAGCCACTATTACCCTGCTATCATGTTCAGGTTTCACTGACACAGGGGTAAGTTAAATGGAGAGGTTTATGAAGAAGAATAATCAAAGTGTAGAGAAAATGTTTGGAAGCTTTAAGTATTTATGGATCTCATTGATACATTAACTGAATTCATCCAATGTCCCATTGTCTAACAAATCTGCCCATCATCTACCAATTTTCACACACTCACTGGACAATCTTTCAGGAAAATGTATTTAAGAAATGCCCCAAAGCTTTTTGAACAACTGAGCATGCACCAGACCATCCTACCTGCTTTTCTGCTCCTCAAGGGGAACGCAGATCAGATGTGCATTCGCGACCCCGTTGACCTCAGGCACAGCTCTGTTTACGATCTGTCCGCATCACTTGCATTTTCACAGCATACAGTGAGGGCAGTGGTGCTGCAGTGACTGCATGAAACCATAAATCCCTCGTTATAGAGACAGTAGAAATGCACAGCAAGAAGAAACAAACAGGGAAGGAGTATGTACAATAACATTAGGTGAAAAGGTGAGAAAGATAAATAAGATTTAGGGCAGCATAAAGGCCCTGCTCTTCAAACAATCCAAATAAGACCATAGACCACTGAATATAATTTATACCAAATTTAGATTTTTTTTGCACTACAACTAAATAGAACATAGTTTTAAAAGTGAAATGGTCTCAGACGCTCCTCTGTTACACCTTGTTACATTTTAGCATGACATTCAGGGGTCGTTTATGGAGTGGTTCCTCTATGCTCAGTCCATTTGAAAGGTTTGTGGGAATGCTTTATGTGGGTTTGTTTTATTTTTAGTTGTACCGGTAGATTGAAAATCTATGAATCATTTCAGAATAATTGACAAGCTGAGTTTGTGCTTGTTACAGAATTGTTTATTTCTTCAGTAGTTTAATCTTCACCATTTAAAATGTTGCAAATGAATTTGACTAAAAATCATTTTTGATTTCATTTGATATAAAACTTTATTTCATAACAGTAATTTGATCAAGATTATATATTAATATTTCTACCCTCTATTTTCATCTCATCATTTTATTGACTTTCAGGCTGTGAACCTCCTTTGTTGCCTTTCATCTTACTTTGTCAGAATTACTGAACATTTCCAGGCTAAACTGTCCAAAGTTTCCTGTGATTGAATGCAGGCATTTAGGACTGGAACGATTAATCAGAAAAATTGATTACTAAAAATAACTACCGGTAATTTAGCAATTTAATCTTTACCTAGAGTAATGGTACATAGACACTTAAAACATACCATTTGCCTAAAGAATAACCCACTTAAAACTTGAATATATATTCTTGAACCAAGTAGGTTCAAGTATATTCAAGTAAACTTGAATATATATATTACATTAAAAGTCTTTTAAAGTGTTATTTGTTTTTACTGTTGATGCTCTGCAGCTAAAGTCAGATGTTTTGTTTTTCTCTTTGGCAGCTTCTGTAACTGGTTCCTCCTGGCAGACGTCCTGAAGCGGCTTAAGATGTCGGCGCGGATCTTCCGGGCTCGTTACCCGCACTTTGAGGTGGTGAGCCTGTCTCATGCTGAGCTCTGGAAGCAGGTCTCCATCAGCCAGGTTAGCTCTGCTTTAGCTTCTCCTCAAAGAAGCAAAATGAGGGACAAAGACAAGGAGGATGAGGAAGAAGGACCTGTGGAACTGGTGTGTTGTGTACCAGAGCTCCAGAGACTGCTGGGCTCATCTGTTCACATTTTACAAGAGGAGGATGAAGAGGAGGAAGAAGAGACGGTGACACCAACAGGGAAGTCTAGGAGCCGATAGCCTCTCCTCTGTTTCTCCCCGTCCTCTCCTTGAAACAGCAGGAAGTTTCTCCGTCCGAAGGGATTAACTCCAGCTACAGCAAAGTCCTGACTCCCGACCTTTGACCTCAGACATGGGAGTGGTCAATGCAAGAAAGCAGCTTTCAGGTTCTTATCTATAGGTATATTTGAATACAGAAAAAGACTTTTTTACTGACAATGTGTGTAAATGGTTGTGTAAATGTATATCTTGCCATCAGGGTGAACATATTTGGTTATATAAATGAGTTGTTGAGGCAAGAAGATGATGATTTTTGGACTTTTAGTTAGAGATTGTTCCCGAGGGACGCAGCAGTTTTCACCAGGAGATAATCCAAGGCATCTGGGTGGACTCTGGGGTGAAGCTGAGATGCATAACCCACCAAGGCGGTCAGCCCAGGTGGCCTCCCAGCCAACCTTAGAGATCTGGAGACCTGCAGAGATCGATATGGCACATATTCACCCTCCCAGCTCAGACACATCACATGGTCCGCTGTTTCACTTCATCATGAAAAGACCCTGAAGTATCAAATATGTCTGTCTCTCCACATTTCACTTACAAAGCCCTCTCTTTTGCAATGAAGTGATTTCATGGACTTCGCCGCTGAGTTTGTTTACAGAACCAGGCAGATGTTGATCATGAACTGTTACTGAACCTGTGGAGGAACGAGAGCCCAGAGACGCCCTCCTGACTGCAGCCACCACCGTCCCCTACAGTGTTCCCAGAGTGCTTTGTGTTGCAGTGTTTGATTCACACTGTTTGTTGTGCTTTATTTAATAGTCATTAATATATTTGACCTCTTGTATATCTGAAAACCCTATGTATGAGAAAAATGCTTTCTATGGTTGGTGCTTCATTCTGAAACGTACTCACTAAGGATCCCTTTATTCTGAGATTATCCTCCCTCCTTCAGAACCAGTGTTTCAAAAACAGCTAAAGTACAGTTTTATTGTACTGGTGCTAAGATAGATTTTTGTGTTGACAATCAACAAAGTTTTGCTTTGAAGTCACAAACTGATAAAAGGTATTTAAGGTGTAAAGAAAAGTTAAGTTTAGCAGAGGGGAAACGGGACACGGCTAGACTGAGAGGTGTGAGATCCTGAAAGAGGCTTTTATTTGATTCTTTTATAAGAAATCAAGCAGAATAAAGCATGATTGTGAATCATAGTTGTTATCTCTGTTTGTCAGATTCTTAGTGTTGGGTTATTTACAGGTTGATGCTGTAAATCCAGTTCTAACAAATCAATCTGGATGCTGCGTTTTGAAAGTCAGAAAAGATGACTCGTATTAACTTGTATTATTTTCTCCATTCTGTAAAGTTGCTTTAGCTAAAACAGAGAACACGTTTTTAGTAAGTGCTTCTGTCAGCTCAGTCAACAAGTTAAATAATCTGCTATAACCCAGCCCCTGATCCACACTGTTCCTCATATCAAGCCAAATCTGCAAACCTTTCCTCTCTCACAGCAACACTTGCTGCTTCCTCTTCTGCAAACCAGGTTTTGTTTTTTGTCTTTAAAACAACATGAACCTGTTTTAAAATCGTCCAGTAGGAAATGTTATTAACAGAGGAACACTGTTGCCGTGGGTGAGGAGACATCCGTCCTCTTCTGATATCTGTAGACCTTGCTTTGGTGTTACTACATATTATTTCCTCATACATTAGACTACTTTTTTCCCCCCTCTGCTTCCCCTTTTATCTCCGAGTGTCACAATAATTACTATGGCTTAATAGTTGAAATGAACTAATCAAAGAAATGTTTCCTGTTATCTGTCCTCTTATGTTCACTAGCTGTACTAGCTTCATAAGCCTTTATCACTTTGACCATGACACATTAATCTTCGACACAAGTCTCCTGAATTGTGTAATGACTGGAGGCTCCCTGTGAGTTTAAATCGGAATGATGTATATTATATTATTTATTTTGATTATTTCATTGATTAACATGGGAGTAGTGAGCTGATGGTATATCCACTTCCAAAATTTAACTTCATAAACCTTTAGTACAATACAATCTTAATAAAAAAAAAAACACTTCAAAAGTAAATTGATGAGATAACTAATAAAATAACACAAAATTAGTAGTTCTGCTAAGCAGAAAAAAACAAAACAGTAATCGGTCTATGAGATAGTGCCAATAATGAGTAGTTACGACAAAAAATTACATTCTACATTTCAAACTGTCTTAAAAGCGTAGGAGAAAAATGTGTTAAAGAGATCTTAAAAGCAGGAAGTGTCTTTACAGGAGAGAAGCTTCTGTCACCGCTTAGGGCCTTCATCTTGGTCACTTCTCTGCCTTCTCTGGGATGACTGACAGTGACTGATCTGCCAACCTGTCAGAGTGTAGAGGAACGTACTGCTGTATTAGTCTTAAATCCTGAAACAAACTGGGAGCCAATGTAGAGAGGCTGTAACTGCAGGGACATTGTCTTATATACATGGCTTGTTAAATGTGACATTAAAGCAAAAATGCTAATTAAAAAAGATCTAAACGGGAATCAAACATTTTCACAGCACTGTACCCATTCTGTCCGAACTCTCCTCTTCGCTGCAGAGTATACTTGCACCTCTAGTCTCTCTTTTGCCTGTTTTCCTCTCCCAATACATATAATAGCATAATCTGTTATATCTTCTGCCTGACCTAACATCTGATACATTTTATAAGCTGAACATTTGAAATCCTTTGTATGAGAATCGATTAGAAAAACTCATTCGGGTGATCATATCCATCTCCTAAGACTCTGCGCTCCATCAAAATAGGTAAATTAGATCTTTCTTTAGTGTAAATGATAAATGCACTGTACTTTTTAAGTCAGGGGACCCCACTGTGCTTCCCACCAGTCAATGCACACGCTGACAGTGATATGCCACAATGAAGCCACAGCTGCCATGGGGCTCATTGATCTGAGGCAGCTTTCCTGAGGACGCATCCACTTTTCTGCACCTGAAGTTGATTTGTTTTTTCTCTTTGAGATTTGCGTATCATTTAGTCTCCTTTCCATCATTTCGTACTTGTGTTCTGCTTTCATCCAGGACCGAGTCGTGGGGAGAGAGAATGCCAGACTTCCCTCTCCACAGAAACCTCCTCCATCTTTCGGCTGGGAAAGCCTGAGGTGCTCCCAGGCCAGCCGAAAGATATAGTACCTCCAGCATGTAATGGGTCCCAGAGGAGGTGGAGATGTTCAGGGGATTTCTGAAAAGGATGTCTGAGCCACCTCAGCTGACTTGTTTCAATATGGAGGAGAAGCTGGTTTACTCTGAGCCCCTCCCAAAAGACCGAACTCCTCACCCTGTCTGTAAGGGAGCACCCAGCCACCCTGCGCAGAAAGCTCATTTCAGCCGCTTTTAACCAGGATCTTGTTTTTTTGGTCATGATCCAGATTTCATGACCATAGCTGAGGAGAGGAACATGTAAACCCATCACTACAGCCACAAATGATACAAAGCAAATCCTGAAAAGGAGAAAAAACATGGCTGTCAGAAGATGCCCTGCTCTGCCAACTACACGTCAGCAGATCTTTATTTGAACTGTGAAGATTTAAACCTGGCCATATTTTCTCCACTAGAGGGAACCAACAAAGGCAGCATAGTCCACACCAAAGATGACTTAAACAATCATCTCCTCTATTAATCCTACACCTCTTCTTCACGTGCATCTGTAATAAAACTGAGAAAAGGGCAGAACAAGGAACTTATTTTCAGGATGGTCTGAAGAAACACGTGAAATCTGAGTTTTATGCCTGGCAGCTGTGGTTTATTACTTTATATTCAGAGTGAATCCTTTGCTCAGCAATGGATTCAGACACTAAGCAGAAAAGTGATTTAACAGTCCGTCTTATCACACTAAATACAGCAGCTTAACAATTTCAAAGTCATTAAACTGAAAGACATTTTACTCAAATTATTTCCAGCTTTTTATTAAAGTCTTTCAAAGGATGGAAATCATATTTAAATGCTCAGCAGGTTCATCTACCAGTATAGTGTACAGCAGTTTAGCATATGCGTCTCTGTGTGAGGCCTCAGTAGGACTGAGAAGTGTGGATGGACATTGCCATTGACATACCAGCCGCAGCCCCTGGCAGGGCCTCCTGGTACAGATGGCCCTGCCTGCAGTGAAACCTGCACAGCCGCCGTGAGGTTACTGCAGTTCATTCAAGGCTGCAAACTGTCCCCATCAGCCTGCTGTTCACCCTGTTCTGTTTGGCTCTTGTCTGATAAGCTTTATCTGCAAATACAAATGGATACTTTAAGGAAAACACTGAAAATATCAGAGTTAACCTGTTTTTTTGCCTCATTATCTTGTACTAACTTGATCTGGATGCTTTGCTCTAATTTAAGGGAAGGGATTTGGTTGCATGTAGGGAACTTTTGACTCTCGTGTATTTCAGGAGCCATAACGCATGTTGCCTGGGCCCCTCAGTTCCTCCCTCCTAGCCAAGCCCCTGCGTCGCCTCGCCAGCCATTGGCCCACCACAGGGGCAGAGGCCTCTGATTGGATACAAATGAGGGCAAGTCTGCACAAGCCCACTGAGAGACTAATATAAAATACTGTAGAAATGCATGAGGTGTAAGTTCAGAGGGAGAGGCTCATTAGCAATAGGAATCGTCTTTGATTTAAGAGTAAACTACCAATTATACATGGTTATTTTAAATGTTTATCATTTGAGGTAATATATGAACCTTCACATTAGTTTTTGCAAAAATCTTTCAGTTTTTTTAATTCATCATCCCTGAAATGAATTTGGCCCAAATGTTACAGAAATAAAACTGGCATTTAAGTTAAAGTTTCTCTTCATATCAGTCAGACTGTTAAGGTTCTCTTATCTAGTTGTTGCTAAACTGAATGTTTAGTTTGGTTCATTTCCTTTGGGACACATTTAAAAAGTTGCTTTTTTTTAAATCTACAAATGAGAAAATAGGATGTTTTGATGAAAATGAAATATTTTTTAATTGATTTAATTTTCTGATTTTAAAATAAAGTTACCATCCTGTTATCCACAGAGATCCAGGCTTTGATTAGAAGCCTTTTCTCTTTTTCTGGATCTTTCTTGCGGAAGTGTCGAGAAATGATCCGAGACTGAGGAGTTCACTGAGGACATTTGTTGTCTTTGTCAACGGCTCCTTGAGCGTATTATGTAAGAGCCCTCTTTGAAAGGAAAAGAAGAAAGAATTGGTACACCGAGGCAGGAAGTCCTGCTTACTTATCCTGCATGTAAATTGGAGTCTGGATGCTTCTTTCTCTCCCTGGTCTCTCAAATCAGCTCAGTCTGTTTCCTTTCATGTTGTGATTAAATCGTTTAATCTATTTTTTATTAAAACGATATTTCACTGCAAAAGAAGCAACAAAGTTTTCCGCATTTCCCTTTGGAAAGGGATCACTGCCTTTTTTTCTGGTTCCATTCTCTAAAACTTACAAATATGAAAGTAATTTTTTACCCGGAGGGTTATCGGTTCAAGCTCCAGCTTTCAGTGTCGTTGTGTCCTTGGGCAAGACACTGTACCCGCATTGTTTACCGATGGTGGTCAGAGGGTCTAGTGGTGTTGGTGTACAGCTGCCTAGCTTCTGTCAGTGAGCACCAGAGCTGCTGTGGCTACAGAGTAGTTTGCCACCACCAGGTGTGAACGGGTGAAAGACTGAATGTGGTGTAAAATGCTTTGGTCAAGCGAAAAAGTGCTATATAAGTACAGGCCATTTACCATTTGTACAATTTATTTTCTATTTCTTGCCATCAATCAACAAATTGCACGACTGCAGGTGAAATAAACATGTTTAGCTCCCCTGTGCCAGTACTTTGTGGCGCCATCTTTACTTGTAGCTCCAGCTGCAGGTCCTCTGGGGGATGTCTTTACCAGCTTTGCTGCCTCTAACAGGTTTCCCTCCTGGATCCTCCTGCATTTAGCTCCAGCCTTCAGTCAGCTCAAACTGGTTTCTCTGTCCTAGCTGGACAGGTCACCAGTCCATCGCTGTGCAAACAACCATATAAGCGCACACACTGGACTGTGAGAGGAAAGCAGAATACCTAGAGGAAGGGTAGAGCACGCATTCAGCTGGGATTCAAACCCAGGACCCTCAAGTTAACAGTGAAAACCGACTGCATCATCGTGCAGCCTTAGTAGATAGACGGTCAAAAGGATGTATACCATATTTGCGTACAGACACTCATCTCTGCAGCTATGAGTGTCTGTACGCAAAGATTTCACTGAGTCATAGCTCTCCCTGTAGTGGTGTTGAATGTCTTTCGTCTCTGCCAGCATGAGGACATCTAATAGTGTTTAATCCAGTCTTTCTCAGCCTACCAGGCCTGCCGCTCTAAATATAACAACAGAGCAGGACAGTAACTCCATCATGCACTGACCTTCTCCAGACATCAGAGTTCTCCTCTGCATGCAGCTCTCTGTCCAGGCGCTGTGCACGTGAAGCTATACCTACCCAGTCACGTCGACACGGTAAACAAATCCAAGAATAGCAGAGAGACTCTGATACTAAATTAGGAGATGTTTAGTCATCTCACATGATTCGGAGCAGATTAAATGTTAACATTGTTACTACAGCAGCTAAGAACGAACACTACTTTCACGGCCTTCAGCAAACCTTGGAGTACTCCCTCATTTTTCTGTTTTGCTTTCAAAATGTTATATTTTCTTATCATGCTGTAATGGTCCTTTTATTGTTTTGGGCTCCTTCTTACCAAAAACATGTTTTTATAAACACAAAGTTTCCATCAACCATCACAGAAAAAGCCCCAAACATGACACAGTTTAACCTCTTAAAATAGCATTTAAGCCCAATCAAGGTTTAATCCCAAACAAGAGCTTTAGATGCTGTCCTTTTTGCAGAGGTGGGTAGTAACTAGTTACATTC